CATGCTTTTCTCTCTCATCTTCAGTCTCTTTATGCAACACCTCAGTGCCATTTTACAATTCATCATTTCAGAGTCAAGATGAGGAGTGCTTAGAGTACTCTGATGAATCAGGTTGCCCTGGATCAGGATGCTCAGCTGCCTGAGAAGCAGGTGTACTTCTTAAGTGATAGATGCAGAAGAAAAGCCCAAAACTTCCCTCTGTCCTAGTAATTTTGTAGCACGGAATCTGCTTCTGAGTCCAAATAACAATGGATCACTGCATGTGCTGTGGAAGCCCAGAAATGATCATGCCTGTGGCTGTTACATATTTATCTCTGTTATGTTGTGTTTAAAAAAAAAATAAAAAATGCACCTTCTGTGGACACTTGTGCTTACAGGAAATAAAGATTCCTTCCAGTCCCCTGGAGAGGTGTTCAGGAGCCAGGTGTGGTGCTGTGCAGTGTGAGCTACAGCTGAAGTGGACAGAAAGAATTGCATCAATTAGTGGTTAAGTTTTATTAGGCATAACTTAATGAGATGTGTAAAATTGACATTTACATATAATCATGGCCTTTTTAAAATCACAAAACTCATGAACATAAAAAATTAAGTGTTAAATTAACTCCCACTTCTATTAGCATACCTTTCTGAAAACATGGGTTGTTTTAAAGTGTGCAGCTACACACTACATTCACATAATAAAAGAACTTCAAATAAAAACCATACAAACATGTTAACACAAAATGGATGTTTACAGACAATGAAGTTCACCAAAAGAACCTCTCAGGGCCCTTATGTCAATTGATTCCTACTTCCCCATCCCAGAGGTTCACATGCCTGGTACCAATCCTTGGCAGGAGGGAACTTCTCACAGTTTGCAGCAGCAAAAAGAATGATTTCTTGTTAAATTGCTATGAATTGGTCCAGCAGTGGATTCCATAGAAACCAAAGCACAGAACCAAAGTGCAGTATCAGAGGCAACACCCAGAACTTCTGCCTCCCACTCCTCTACTCCAGCTGCTTAATTTGTTTTTGAAGTTGTAAGTCTTCATCTCTGCTGTCTCCTGGCTACCTAGTTATGGTATCTGTGAACTGGGTTGTTTCCAATTCTCGCTTTCATTTCTATTGATCTCTAGCTACTTCTGTGGCTTAGGAATGGGTCACAGGCTTCCCTAGGGTTTACCCTGCACTCTCCATAAGTAAGAGTGGCTTTGGTTCTGCTTCGCTCACTGGGAATGAATACAAAAGGATAAACAGGCAGCATCAGGCACAAACTGGGACTGAACTTCCACCTCAAAACCTACTCTAGTCTTTGTACAGGAAAGACATTCTCTCCCATGTCTTTGTGGGTCAAAGAAATGAAATGCAAACTGGACACTAATTAAAATTTAATAAGCATTCCCAAAATTTTATCTCATTAAGAAAAAGATGGTGTGTTAGGCTCCATTTCTATGGCTGATTTTTACAAATTTGGTCTAGGGTACCTCTACACTGTGCACCTACATGCTGAGGAGCTAGATTCAGTTTCACTGGTATCTAGTTAGTAGCAGTGTTGCTGCTGCAGCCCCAGCCTATACCTAAGGTAATGAGCACTATCAAGAGGTAAAAGCAAATAACCTGGGAGCAGGACCATGTTAATGCAGTTTTTCTGCCTTCAGGCCCAAAGAAGTAATGGGGGAAGTCAGCAGATCAAATCAACATATCAAAGCAGACCAGTCAGTAGCTCTCCTCCGTACCCCACCATTTGTCAGTAATCTGTCATGTCTTCAACCTCTTATTCATTTTCCATATCTGCTGTACCTGCATGAATGCAGGATTTTTGGGGTGAGAGGGCAGTTCAGGGTGAGTTATGCTGAGTACAGTCTTTCTTTTGGAAATAGGAGCAACACTTATCTAAAGGAACTGTTTGGTCACTGGGACTTGTCCTCAGTGAGAGTTGCACCACTGAACTCAGCAGGAGTATTAAAGAGAAATGGAAAAGCAGAAGAGTCTCATTCCTGACCTTGGGGCTGACTTGCTGTCAGGGAAAAATAAACCACCCTTAGTTATTTGCTAAAATGCTTTGGAGATTTTTCTGCTTCCTTTCCAGTGTGCTCCCTCCACTGCAGTGGTGAGCAGTGTTATGAATGCAGAGACCTTGGCTCGGGCTGTTGTCTAAACCAGAATTTGAAGTTTGTGTGTGCAAGTCAGAAGCACCCATCAGCTGACAGGATCAGCACCATGGGCCCTCTGCCCAAATCAGCTCCAGTAAATCAGCTCCATGCTCAGACAGAAATCTCTGCCACAGGACTCAACACCTTCATGCTGAGTAAAATTCAGGAACCCAGAGGAAAAGAAGGGGATTCACTCAGGTAAATTCTTCACTGAGCTATTCACTTACATCTATAATTTATTTGTAATGAGACAAGGGGTTGGTCACCCCCTTACAAAGGGCTGGCAAAGGTTCAAGCATCAGCTTGTTCCTACTGAAACCCAACTTTGAGATTGTACTAAAGATCTGACACTTTTGTTCTGGCTCTCTGCAGGAGAAGTTCTCACATGCAGTGATATAAAATGTGGAAAGGAAATGTCAAACAGGTGGAAAGCTATTTCTCTTTAGAAAAAAAAAAAAGAAAAAGAAAAAGATTTGGTATTTGATGGCAGCAGAAATGTACTCCATAGCATTGAAATACATAAGTAATTGGTTCAACAGTGTTAGGAAAAAAAAAAAAAAAAAAAAAAAAAAAGACAAATAATTCTTATGTTTTACAGCTTCTTTGAAAGATGTGGCATCTACAGGTGCTTTGGATGCAATCCTTTAGCCACACTCTTTATTCCCTGCATGCTCTTCATCCCCCACATACCAGGGTCTCCCATCACATCTTCCTGTTCAAGTCAGTTATTTTCCACACTACCACATCCACCAATAAATGCTCCAGTGACAGGATTATATTCTTCAAAGCTGCCTTCTGCAGCAAGGCAAGGGGAGATTGGTAAAAAAGAAATGCCTTGAGAAGGAAATTAGTTAGTGTTAAGATAGGATTTTTCTTCTGCTTGCATTGAAAAGCAGGAAAGTGCTATAGAAATAGTGGTCTTGTCTGACCAGTCTTCATCAGGCCATGTTTTTACTGATTCAAATAAAACCCCCAAACAAATATTTGTATTCATTCCATGTGCATTGTTTGGTTTGGGTTTCTTGTTGTTGTTTGTTTTTAAATCCAGTGCAATAATGCCAACCATAAATGCTTTTAAGTTGCCTCTTCTGGAAATCTGCCCCATGTCTTTACAGTAACTATTCACAAATAGAGGGGTTTTTTATTTAAAATTTGTCTGGGAAACCACTACTGCTCCTGATGGAGAATCCCAAATATTGTAATTCTAAGGTACTGAAGGCTACTTAAGAGATATTTTTATTCTCTAAGAATAAAATAATGTAGTTTGTTTGGGGTTTTTTTTTGAAGGAAAATCAGCCACTAGACAGAAATCCTTACATACCATCATTTTTACTTATGTAAGTACTTCCTTCAAGTCACTGGGATCACTCTGAAAGCAAGAATATTTCCTCTATTCCTCTGTTTCCGATAGTGAGGCATCAAACTAATGTAATGCAGAAAACAAAGGCAACAGGAAAAAAAATTGCTGATGAGCTTACTTCATATCAGTTGACCTCATGTCAACAGAAAAGTTACTAGAGGTCCTGTGAAGTCCTAGAGCACCTCCTCTCCAGAGATTTTGTCAAAGCATTCCCAAGGTAGTGATGATCACAGCTTCAGTCCACCACTGCCTGGCAGACAGGGAGAGGCAGGAGCTGGTGTTGAAGGTTGTGATTCCCAAAGATTCACTCTAACCAGAAGGTGACATTGCCTCCCCAAACCAGGAAAAACATTTCCCATAGGATGAATGGGGTTAAGGGAGGAGAAGGAAGTAGCCCTGACTCTGTGCTGATCTTGCAGATAAATTTCTCTGTGGTCTCAGATCATGACAAAGATGTAGAGTAGTTTTTCTCTGGAAAAAAAAAAAAGGCCACTTTCACAAGTGCAGCCTTTGATATTGCAAAAAAGCCTCACTGAAGCCACAGAAATTGCTTATGAATCCCAGGGTGACTCCTTTTCTTAAGGGCTTTCAATATCAGGCAGGTAAACATGGAAGAAAATCCATCAGAAGGCTAGTGGGATGCTGTAGGCAAGGGGAAGGCAACCTTTGCAGAAGAAAGAAGAGCTCTGAGTATACATTACCCACAGGTGAGAAAATTTCTATCACTAATATATCAGGGCAGGGCCTGGGCTCGTGATGGCAGTGTCATTACAGGATCTCCACTTCTAGTTCCTGTTCCAGGGCTCAAACTTTTAAAACTCATTTTATCTGACAGATAAAATACTTATAAAACACAGTGTAGGAAACACATTAGTCTCTTAAAATCCCCTGAACTTGCTATATCACTTGTAATTAAGTAGCTTTCAGGCAACAGAAGCAAATCTTGTTAGTTTTGAGGATCATCAAAGAATGTGACAGCACTATGTGACTGCACATAGGCCAGCCTAGCGTAGCATGTTAGCACTTGCCCATGGTTGCCTTAATCTAAGGCAATCTGTGTAACCAAGAAAGACAAATCACTCAGAAACTGCTGATCCTGAATCTTCAACCTATGCCCCCTTTGTTATCTGTGAGAGTTTTTTCCAGGTCTTATTCCCAAAATCCTTTCCAGTATCGTACATGTAGGAGTGACCATCAAAGCTGAAAGTGCTCAAGCCTGGAAACTACCAGTTAACAAGGAATAGCTGATGATAGAGAAAAACAATTAAGCAAGTAAAAGAAGATATCTCAACATGAGTACAAGATAAGTGGATCCAACTTGTACATCTGGCCTGGGGTGGATAATTGTCCAAGTGCAATTTGGAGCCACACCTGTGGAAA